CGACTTAGTCTTTGCTACTGCTGACACTGAGGCACTCGCTCGTGTGAAGTCGGAGCTGCAGAAGAGACACACCTGCACTGACCTGGGTGAGCTGCGTAGCTACCTTGGCTTGCAGATCACCCGGGACAGAGCACGGCGCACCATCACCTTGACTCAGTCCCACATGGTGCAGCAGGTCTTGGCTTGCAGATCACCCGGGACAGAGCACGGCGCACCATCACCTTGACTCAGTCCCACATGGTGCAGCAGGTCCTTCAGCGCTTCGGCTTCCAGTTCTCCTCACCACAGGCCACACCTCTGGCTACCAGCCACTCGCTCTCAGCTCCACCTCCGGACGAGTCCGTAGAGCCGAGTGGCCCGTACCCAGAGCTTGTGGGCTGCCTCATGTACCTGATGACTTGCACGCGACCTGACCTCGCGTACCCTCTTAGCATCCTTGCTCGTTACGTTGCGCCTGGGAGACACAGGCGAGAGCACTGGGAGGCTGCTGCTGCGCTACTTGTGCAGTACATCAGGCATGGGGCTGGTGCTTGGAGGACGCGACAGAGTTGTCCTCACTGGCCACTCGGACGCTTCTTGGGTGGACGACCTGGCTACGCAGCGGTCGTCACAGGGTTACACCTTCAGCCTTGGCTCTGGTTCTGCCTGGCGGCTGTTCTCGGGTTTGAGGCTGTCTCAGCGGCTCACCACTGACTCTCTCTTTAGGCTCAGGAGCACAGACTAGCACATTGTGAGGCTTGTTTCCTCACTTGCTCACTGCTTGACATTCTTTGTACTGTACTTTATATATATCTTGTTGCTTGCTTGCTAGGTTTTGATCACTGTGTTGCTTGTCTTGTACTATATCTAGCACTGCATGTGAACTGGCCTTGTGGCCTTTACTTGTGCTCGGAGTGTGGTGACGTTGTGATCCACCCTGGGCTTTGCTTTGCTTTGCTGGACTGGTCTTGTGACCCTTTGTTCTCCCCCACTTTGCCTATGGGGTGTGTTAAACTGTATTATACTTGTAGGCTGTAGTGGGGTAGCCAATATGGGGTACAACCCCAACTAGGGTTTCATATTTGTACCCAAACTTCTGCTAGTTCATTCATTCTTGCCTAGTTATTCTGAGACCTCCGTTTGAGAATTGTCGACTCAGAAGGTAAGTCTATTCGCGTACAGATTTGTATGTTTTTTACCTCCACATGATTCTGGCTTTTAATAATTTTACCCGTTTGCTCGACATTCAGGGTTGGTGCGCAACATTCACTTTCCCTTCAACATGGAGGAAGACACGGCGTTCAGTGTCGCGAGCGAGATGGTTGAAGAGCTTGCCCTCTCCGACCAAGATGTGACCAGCATCGCAGAGATGATAGACGCGGAAATCATGAAGCTCGTTCCGAATTGGAAACCAGGCCCATCTTTTGACGAAAGTGGGGGTTCGGACGGTACCAGCAGCGAGGTTGGTGATGCAGATGATCAAGAAGAGCAGGAGGCAGAAGGAGAAGAAGCTGTGGGCCATTTGAGTACAGTTTTGTCAACCAACTCATTGCCTGGGCGATCTTCGGACAAATCGCGTTCAGCCTCTCCATCGCGTTCGCGTTCTCGGTCTCAGTCCCTGCCAGCGGAACTGGCCAAGTGCAACTTCACCTTCTGCGTCAACAAAAGTGTTCTCAGGCTCGCCTGCGAATGGTGGCTTGGAACATGTCGGTGTCACTCATGGTCGCTTCTTGGAAGGCTTACCAGGCACGGTGGCTGACGGCGGGGCTGGGTCTCCAGTGATGAGTCAGATTAAGGAGCACAGCATCGAGGATCAGGGACATTGAGCGATTCTGAAGACCATGGTCATGGTGAAGGGGAGGAGGCGATTGCAGCCATGGCTGGCGATGCACCAGTGAAAAGGTTCGCGGCTGATGATATTGGCCTTCAGCTAGCTTCGGATGGGTCAAGTGAACTTCGGAGGGATTAAGCATCGAGCAGGAGGAAGAAGCCTGACGGATTTCAGCACTGTGATGGAGCTCAAAAGACACAGCGAAGCGTCCGAGGTTGGGAGTCTATGCTGCACAGCCAGTCGGTTGCAGAGCTTCCACGGGGAGGTCCTAGCCCGTGGAGCTCATCGGGTGAGCTAGAAAGAGGTGATGGGGACGACGACTTGATGAGGGAAGAGGAGGAACTTCGGCTGGAAAGGGAACACGAGATGCAGGAGCTGGAAGTGCGGTATTGGCAGCGATTGCTTGCTGTGAGGAATAGACACAGAAGGGGCAAGATGGATAGCTTCTCCGGTCCCATGCCTGGTTCAACTTCTAACGAGCTCAGCCGAAATCCGTTCCCACAACCGAGAGCATGAGCGATTTCCCGGGCCTGGCGGCCGTTTTAAACGGGCTCGAACCAGGTGTACCGTATTCGTCGCGTTCACAACCGCTTCTGTATCATGGTGATGCGAGGCCAGGCTTTCGCAGGGGTGGCGATGAACGTGGCGAGCCGGATTATTACGCCAAGGATAAGAGTGGCAGTTGGAACTACGCGAAAGGCGATTGGGATGCATATGGGGGTTCGAAGTATCCGCGGGATAGGCATCATTTGTCGCGTCCCGATTGGGAAAGGGTGCCGCCACATCATAGCTCCAGTGGGCATGCTGTGGAGAGGGATCAACGGTGGGGAGGTGGTCGGGACGCCCCAGGGAGAGATGCGGGGCATGATGGCCGGGGAAGAGGCTGGGAGCGAGATCTGGATGGTGATCGTGAGCAAGGACGCACCGAACCTACTCGCCAGCACATGTACCCTTCCAGAGATTTGTCCCGTTCTCCACCTGCAAAATGGGGCGAGCTGGTGCAGGATCCGAATGCTCCTCCCTGGTGGTTGACCAGCAGAGGGCTGGGATGCTGCCTGCGCATTTGTACGCGAACGGGGGAGATGGGATGCTGGGCAGGGAAAAACTGCGCATTTGTACGCGAACGGGGGAGATGGGCAATATTATGGGGCTCCGCATCGGTTTGATTTGGGACCAGGGAAAAACTGGGATCCTCAGGATTGGTCCAGAGAAGAAGCTTTTTGCAGAGCTGAACCGTGGAGGTTTCAACCGAGAGACGTCGAGCCTGGTGAGGTGTCAAAATAGTATGTAGTGTTAGGAGCCATAGCTAGGAGAGTCCTAGCTAGGCAAGAGACAGTTTAGGCAAAAGAAGAGGGTTTTCACTAGCAGCAATGAGGATACATATAGCAAACCCTAGATGGGTTGTACTCGCTACAGAGCACCCCACTACAGGCTAGAGAATAACATTCTGACACACCCCCATAGCCAAAGTGGGGTGTAATCAGCAGAGCAAACAAAGCAGTACAAGCTCAGGGTGGATCACAATGTCACCACACATTCTGAGCACAAGTTCAAGAAGCAATAGTTTAAAGTTCACAATTATGAGCAAAGCTAGTGGTAGTCACAACGGGCAAGTGAGGAGGAGGAAAGAGACTATGAGAGGAGAGGAGGTAGTGGGCGGCAGCTGAAGCTGCTGGCACACGGCGCAACTGGAGCAACTGGCACACGGGCAACTGGAGCAACTGGCACACTGGCAACTGGAGCAACTGGCACACGGGCTACTGGAGTAACTGGCTCCGCGGCTAAAAGTAGCGGCAGACGAGCAACGGACTCACGGGCGACTGGAGCAACGGGCTCACGGGCGACTGGCGCAACGGGCTCACGGGCGACTGGCGCAACGGTCTCACGGGCGACTGGAGCTGCTGGCTTGACGGCGGCCACCCCCTTCAACCTCCCCAAACTATCCCACTCCCCCTAACACACACCCGCTGCTACACCGCTAGCTCCACTCCCCTTTCACCCCCCCCTTAGTACCACTCCGTCGGCTCCAACAGGTCCACCCCCCCTCAGCGGCAGCTGCAGCACAGGGAGACGGAGGAGGAGGAGGAGCAGGGAACGGCACTCAGAAGCTGCACCCCCATACCCCCCACCCCCAAACCCTAATCCAGGAGAACGGGCAGAAGGAGGGGTGGGGCGCCTTCAGAAGCACGGGGGACAGCGGGGAGGACAGGGGCAGCGAAGAACGGGCCGCCCACGGGCCTGGCACAGCCTCCCGAACCGCGCGCAGGCGGTCCGAGCCGCGCGCGGGCCTGGCGCAGCCCGTACGAGCCGCGCGCGGGCCTGGCGCAGCCCGTACGGGCCGCGCGCCGGCTGTACGGGCCGCGCGCAGGCCACGACGGGCGACGGGGGCGACGCGCGGGTCCCCGTCGCCCGTCGCAGCGCCTCCCGGGGGCGACGCGCCGAGTGACGGGGCAGAAACCCGCCGCGCGCCTCGGGGCACACGGCGGGCAGAGAACCGCCGCACGCCTCGGGGCGCACGGCGGGCAGAAAACCGCCGCGCGCCTCGGGGCGCACGGCGGGCTGAAAACCCTAATTTCGACGCCGCGCACCACGGGGCGCGCGGCGGACAGGGAGTAGCAGTAGCAGCGGAAGCAGTGAAGTGGGCCCACAGGCCAGGAACGTTAAGCTCTGATACCATGTCAAAATAGTATGTAGTGTTAGGAGCCATAGCTAGGAGAGTCCTAGCTAGGCAAGAGACAGTTTAGGCAAAAGAAGAGGGTTTTCACTAGCAGCAATGAGGATACATATAGCAAACCCTAGATGGGTTGTACTCGCTACAGAGCACCCCACTACAGGCTAGAGAATAACATTCTGACATGAGGACCCGTGGTCCAAGCATAGCCGGAGGGAGCAGTATGATGGTGGCAGGTTTGAAAAGGTGGAACGAGATAGAAGAGGAGATATCGAGGAGGATGGTTCTGGCCATGGTGGCCGAGCTTACCAGAGGGCTGTGGCGGGACAAAGGGACGAGGAGGCGTACTGGCAGGGTAGGAAGGAACCGAGGGATTTTGATCCCAAGTTTGACAGAGGTTCTGGTTCCAAAGGTGACACAGGTGGGGCTCGTAAGGGCGGAGTGGATAGGGAGAGGTTGGACTATCAGGAAGAAGCAGCTGGGTTTAGAAGGCGGGAGGTTGGTGGTGTGGGAGAGCCTATGCCGCAGGAGAGACGGGGGGTGGATGGGAAGGGAGACCAGCACGTTTCTGACATGAGCAGGAGGGATGTGGAGGGTGATACAAGCAGAGCTCCGCGAAAGCATTTGCAGGAGCAAAGCTCTGGTGAGATTTCCAAGGGAGGGGAGCATGGTGGAAGGTTTTCTTCTGCTGTTGCCAACCTTGCATCCGAGACGACTGCTTCTTGGAGCCCAAGCAGGAGCCATCAGCTGTCCCCGCAATCTCATGAACAGGAAGGGCTTGGGGGAATGGATCTGCGAAAGGCATCTTCTGAAAGGGTGGCGACCAAATTTTTGAGTGCAGGCAGGGAGCATGCTTCCAAGTCTGATGCAGCACCCCCGTCGACGAAGTTCGTGGCGCTGCAAAGAGAGGAAAACAAGGAGTTTGATTCGGATGGTCATTTGAGGATGGCGGGCAAATCAGGAGAACTTGGAGTGCAGGCTGGGCGGAGGGATTCTGATGGGGATTCCCAGGGGAGACTGCAACGCAGCAACTCCGGTCAAAAGACTGCTGCTTCGAGCAGAGGTGAAGGGGCACATCTGGGGCCCGCCTTGCATCCAAGGGAGGTCCCAGATTCTGTTGTGCCACCTGATGCTCACACACATGGGCAGCAAATGAAGAAAGAGCAGCTAAAGAAATCGATTGCAGAGCTGGAGGCAAAGAAGCTGCAAGGCCTTGTGAACAACAAGACCCAGAAGAATGGGTTTGCACCATCTAGCTCCAACAATCCCTTGGCCATGAAGAAGCCAAGCATCAGCTCTCGTCCACCTCAGTCGTAGGTTACTTAATTGTTAGTGTAGGTTTGCAGTGCTTAGGATTTAGGCAGGTTATGTGGCTCACTCTGCTATATGCTTGGCATCAGGGCCCGTGCTAGGATTTGGGGCACCCTAAGCTCTCAGGGCACTTTTCTAGAATCTTAAAAAATGCCCTGATTTGTCAGGGGAAAATCCCAAAGCCTTCCTGTATGTTCAGGGCTTTTGCAGAAACTAATCCTGACCTGTCAGGGCAAAAAAAATAGTGTTCAGGGTTCAGATTTTAGCGGGAGAGAAGGGAGGGTAACGGGGAGCGAAGGGGAGTGGGTTTTTGCGGGCCGCTGCTGTCCGTCCACGAGGAGACTATGGCGCAGAGCACGCGGGGGATCGGAACACAACCGTGGACGAGAAGAGATTGTGCGAAGGCGGGAAACATACACGGGAAGAATTTCAACGGAGACAAAAAATCCCCGGGGAAAAAATTCACCCCCCCGAAACTGGAACACCCCCCCCCCCCCCCCCCCCCCCCCCCCCCTCCTCCCCCTCCCCCTCCCCCCTCAAATAATGCGTCAGGGTAGGCCTCGACATTCACCCTGACGGTACAGGGAAGTACACCACGGCAATCCTGAATGTTCAGGTCATTTCAGATAAAAACATCCTGAGACCTCAGGGTAAACATTGAAACTATTCTGAAATGAAAGGGTGAATTCAAAACTGCATCCTGAATTCAGGGTAATCAGGATGTTTTGCCCTGATAACGTGGGCCCTGCTTGGCATGGTTCTGCTTTGGATGATTTGAGTGTGGCCAAGGCAAAGATTCTCAAAATTTATGGAGCTGTGAATGTCAGCCAAATTATGTGATGTGGAGTATTGCGTGTTGAATGAATTTAGAGCCCTAGTCCCAAATTGCGGAGCGCGTGGGACAAGTTTTTAAAACTTAATAACGTTGACTTTGCAAACTTGAAAAAAGAACCAGTGCAATTTGGGAGAATATCGAGCAGCAATCGGAACCACCAGGGCAAATACAAGGGTTGGTTGGGTTTGATGGAACCAAAAAAAAAAAAAAAAAAAAAAAAAACGAAATTTCCGAAATCCAAATCTCTCGCCACGACCCAACTTCAAAAACTCCTTCCCCTTCATGCTTTTAAATCATGAACAATTTGGGCTGCCGGCTTTAAGGCATCAAAATTGTATTACCGTATTTGTGTGCATGTGCAAAACAGTAGGGGAGTTGTGTAATTATTTTGACAAAACGATCATACCTACAAGTATGTGTGCACCAGCAAGCAATCCACAATTACTTACCTTTTATCGGATCGGAGTTAGGCACTCAGCAGGGAGGCAACATCACCCGTCCTCCCCCCTTGCCACCAGCTTAACGTCTTTCCGTAGCGCAACCGAATTTGCTGCTCCGTCATTCACCTGTGTCCCTGCTTCCCTGTTCCCACCGTTTCTTTCGCGCTCTACAAAACTCTGTTATCCGCCGCTCTCGGTGCTCCTCTCGGCGTCTTTCACCCTTGTCGCCGTCCACACCAGCCGCCTTTGCTACAGCTGAGCAATCTGCCGTTCGCCGTTACGCGCCTCGCGCAGTTTCCTCTGTTTCTCCCGCTTGCGAGGCCTTTCAGGCATAGCGTGGCAAACCTTGGGATTGCCGCATCATGCATAGCGCCCCCTTACCAGTAGATTCCCCTTCCCTCGCGCAGCCCCCCGAAGCAGTTGGCGGAGCGGAAGGCTACCCCGCGCAACCCTTCGCGCAGCCTTTCGCGGATCCTTTGGCGCAGCCGCAGATGGCGGAGCGGGAGGCGGAGCCCTCCGCCGATAGGGACTCCGCGGGCGCTGTTCCCGCGCCCGCCGCCGCTGCCCCGCAACCCCACCACCCGCTGCAGCCGCAGCCATCGGCGCACGGCGGCGCCGCGCTGCCGCACGACGCGCAAGTCGCGCAGGCGGCGGGCGGCGGCTTCCGCGAGGGCTCGCGCGAGCGCGAGCGGGAGGCGGAAGGCGAGGCGCTGTCGGTGCGGTTCAACCAGGACTTCACGTGCTTCGCGTGCGGCACGCGCGGCGGCTTCCGCGTGTTCTGCTGCGACCCGCTGTGGGAGACAATTCGGCGCGACTTCGATGGGCGCGGCGTGGGCATGGTGGAGATGCTGTTTCGCTGCAACTTCCTCGCGTTCGTGGGCGGCGGCCCCAACCCGTGCTACCCTCCCAACAAAGTATGGCGGATGGATTTGCTAGGTGAGGGGATTAGAGAGGTGAGGAAATGAGAGTGGTGAGGCGATGTCGTGAGTGATGGTCGTGGGCGGCGGCCCCAACCCGTGCTACCCGCCTAACAAGGTGCGGCTAGTTTTGAGACGTCTACTAAGTCGTGGGGCCGAACAAGGTATGACGGGGAGGAGATTAGACAGGGTAAGAAGATTTGCGAGGTGAGGAGGATGGGATGACAGGCACAGCCGGTGCATCAGTGAGTTAAATTTCCGCAATCAAGTGTGTTGATAAGGGTCCCTTACGGCCGAATTACTGCTTTTCTTCATGCCTACTTTCTGCTTCTCACATCCTCAGGCGATGACCTGGGACGACAGCCACGACCAGTTATGACGAACTGACCTTGCTTGGCGAATCCTGCGATTCCTTGTGCGAAATTCCCTCTCTCACTCTCCTCTCTCCCCCACCCTTTCCGTCATCCACAATCCCCTCTGTCACCTTGCAGGCCATGGTTTGGGATGACTCTCATAGCCGGTGCATCGGCGGGCCAACCTTCTGAATGGGTTGGTAGTAGCGACCCTTCTCACTTACTTACCCCCCTTCCCCCCCCCCCCCCTTCCCCCGCCCTCCCTTGTCCCCCGTCCCGCTCTCCCCAACCCATCCTCAGGCAATGATACGGGACGACAGCCACAACCGGTGTATTGGAGAGCTGACCTTCTGAGTGGCTTGGTTGGTGGTGACCCTTCCCACCTTCTCCCTCCCCACCATCCCTCCACCTTCCACCCCCTTCTTACAGGCAATGATTTGGGACGACTCTCACAGCCGGTGCATTGGAGAGCTCACCTTCCAAGTGGTGACCCTTCTCTCTCCCTCCCCCCCCCCCCAACCCGCTCCTCCTCCCCCCGCTTCCCACATTTTCAGGCCGTGATTTGGGAGGACAGCCACAGCCGGTGCATTGGAGAGTTGACCTTCCGCAGCGAAGTGGATTGATGAGGGTCCTCCACAGCCAAGACTGTGCTCTTGTTCAAGACCTGCTGCTGCCCCCCCTTTAACTCACTTTCCCTCTCTTTCTCTCTCATACTCTCCCTTTCCCTCTCTTTCCCTCTCTTTCCCTCTCTTTCCCTCCCTTTCCCTCTCTTTCCCTCTCATTCTCTCTCTTTCTCAGGCAATGATCTGGGAGGACAGCCACAGCCGGTGCATTGGAGAGCTCACCTTCCGCAGCGAAGTGGATTGATGAGGGTCCTCCACAGCCAAGACTGTGCTCTTGTTCAAGACCTGCTGCTGCCCCCCCTTTAACTCACTTTCCCTCTCTTTCTCTCTCATACTCTCCCTTTCCCTCTCTTTCCCTCTCTTTCCCTCTCTTTCCCTCCCTTTCCCTCTCTTTCCCTCTCATTCTCTCTCTTTCTCAGGCAATGATCTGGGAGGACAGCCACAGCCGGTGCATTGGAGAGCTCACCTTCCGCAGCGAAGTGGATTGATGAGGGTCCTCCACAGCCAAGACTGTGCTCTTGTTCAAGACCTGCTGCTGCCCCCCCTTTAACTCACTTTCCCTCTCTTTCTCTCTCATACTCTCCCTTTCCCTCTCTTTCCCTCTCTTTCCCTCTCTTTCCCTCCCTTTCCCTCTCTTTCCCTCTCATTCTCTCTCTTTCTCAGGCAATGATCTGGGAGGACAGCCACAGCCGGTGCATTGGAGAGCTCACCTTCCGCAGCGAAGTGGATTGATGAGGGTCCTCCACAGCCAAGACTGTGCTCTTGTTCAAGACCTGCTGCTGCCCCCCCTTTAACTCACTTTCCCTCTCTTTCTCTCTCATACTCTCCCTTTCCCTCTCTTTCCCTCTCTTTCCCTCTCTTTCCCTCCCTTTCCCTCTCTTTCCCTCTCATTCTCTCTCTTTCTCAGGCAATGATCTGGGAGGACAGCCACAGCCGGTGCATTGGAGAGCTCACCTTCCGCAGCGAAGTGGATTGATGAGGGTCCTCCACAGCCAAGACTGTGCTCTTGTTCAAGACCTGCTGCTGCCCCCCCTTTAACTCACTTTCCCTCTCTTTCTCTCTCATACTCTCCCTTTCCCTCTCTTTCCCTCTCTTTCCCTCTCTTTCCCTCCCTTTCCCTCTCTTTCCCTCTCATTCTCTCTCTTTCTCAGGCAATGATCTGGGAGGACAGCCACAGCCGGTGCATTGGAGAGCTCACCTTCCGCAGCGAAGTGGATTGATGAGGGTCCTCCACAGCCAAGACTGTGCTCTTGTTCAAGACCTGCTGCTGCCCCCCTTTAACTCACTTTCCCTCTCTTTCTCTCTCATACTCTCCCTTTCCCTCTCTTTCCCTCTCTTTCCCTCTCTTTCCCTCCCTTTCCCTCTCTTTCCCTCTCATTCTCTCTCTTTCTCAGGCAATGATCTGGGAGGACAGCCACAGCCGGTGCATTGGAGAGCTCACCTTCCGCAGCGAAGTGGATTGATGAGGGTCCTCCACAGCCAAGACTGTGCTCTTGTTCAAGACCTGCTGCTGCCCCCCCTTTAACTCACTTTCCCTCTCTTTCTCTCTCATACTCTCCCTTTCCCTCTCTTTCCCTCTCTTTCCCTCTCTTTCCCTCCCTTTCCCTCTCTTTCCCTCTCATTCTCTCTCTTTCTCAGGCAATGATCTGGGAGGACAGCCACAGCCGGTGCATTGGAGAGCTCACCTTCCGCAGCGAAGTGGATTGATGAGGGTCCTCCACAGCCAAGACTGTGCTCTTGTTCAAGACCTGCTGCTGCCCCCCCTTTAACTCACTTTCCCTCTCTTTCTCTCTCATACTCTCCCTTTCCCTCTCTTTCCCTCTCTTTCCCTCTCTTTCCCTCCCTTTCCCTCTCTTTCCCTCTCATTCTCTCTCTTTCTCAGGCAATGATCTGGGAGGACAGCCACAGCCGGTGCATTGGAGAGCTCACCTTCCGCAGCGAAGTGGATTGATGAGGGTCCTCCACAGCCAAGACTGTGCTCTTGTTCAAGACCTGCTGCTGCCCCCCCTTTAACTCACTTTCCCTCTCTTTCTCTCTCATACTCTCCCTTTCCCTCTCTTTCCCTCTCTTTCCCTCTCTTTCCCTCCCTTTCCCTCTCTTTCCCTCTCATTCTCTCTCTTTCTCAGGCAATGATCTGGGAGGACAGCCACAGCCGGTGCATTGGAGAGCTCACCTTCCGCAGCGAAGTGGATTGATGAGGGTCCTCCACAGCCAAGACTGTGCTCTTGTTCAAGACCTGCTGCTGCCCCCCCTTTAACTCACTTTCCCTCTCTTTCTCTCTCATACTCTCCCTTTCCCTCTCTTTCCCTCTCTTTCCCTCTCTTTCCCTCCCTTTCCCTCTCTTTCCCTCTCATTCTCTCTCTTTCTCAGGCAATGATCTGGGAGGACAGCCACAGCCGGTGCATTGGAGAGCTCACCTTCCGCAGCGAAGTGGATTGATGAGGGTCCTCCACAGCCAAGACTGTGCTCTTGTTCAAGACCTGCTGCTGCCCCCCCTTTAACTCACTTTCCCTCTCTTTCTCTCTCATACTCTCCCTTTCCCTCTCTTTCCCTCTCTTTCCCTCTCTTTCCCTCCCTTTCCCTCTCTTTCCCTCTCATTCTCTCTCTTTCTCAGGCAATGATCTGGGAGGACAGCCACAGCCGGTGCATTGGAGAGCTCACCTTCCGCAGCGAAGTGGATTGATGAGGGTCCTCCACAGCCAAGACTGTGCTCTTGTTCAAGACCTGCTGCTGCCCCCCCTTTAACTCACTTTCCCTCTCTTTCTCTCTCATACTCTCCCTTTCCCTCTCTTTCCCTCTCTTACCCTCTCTTTCCCTCCCTTTCCCTCTCTTTCCCTCTCATTCTCTCTCTTTCTCAGGCAATGATCTGGGAGGACAGCCACAGCCGGTGCATTGGAGAGCTCACCTTCCGCAGCGAAGTGGATTGATGAGGGTCCTCCACAGCCAAGACTGTGCTCTTGTTCAAGACCTGCTGCTGCCCCCCCTTTAACTCACTTTCCCTCTCTTTCTCTCTCATACTCTCCCTTTCCCTCTCTTTCCCTCTCTTTCCCTCTCTTTCCCTCCCTTTCCCTCTCTTTCCCTCTCATTCTCTCTCTTTCTCAGGCAATGATCTGGGAGGACAGCCACAGCCGGTGCATTGGAGAGCTCACCTTCCGCAGCGAAGTGGATTGATGAGGGTCCTCCACAGCCAAGACTGTGCTCTTGTTCAAGACCTGCTGCTGCCCCCCCTTTAACTCACTTTCCCTCTCTTTCTCTCTCATACTCTCCCTTTCCCTCTCTTTCCCTCTCTTTCCCTCTCTTTCCCTCCCTTTCCCTCTCTTTCCCTCTCATTCTCTCTCTTTCTCAGGCAATGATCTGGGAGGACAGCCACAGCCGGTGCATTGGAGAGCTCACCTTCCGCAGCGAAGTGGATTGATGAGGGTCCTCCACAGCCAAGACTGTGCTCTTGTTCAAGACCTGCTGCTGCCCCCCCTTTAACTCACTTTCCCTCTCTTTCTCTCTCATACTCTCCCTTTCCCTCTCTTTCCCTCTCTTTCCCTCTCTTTCCCTCCCTTTCCCTCTCTTTCCCTCTCATTCTCTCTCTTTCTCAGGCAATGATCTGGGAGGACAGCCACAGCCGGTGCATTGGAGAGCTCACCTTCCGCAGCGAAGTGGATTGATGAGGGTCCTCCACAGCCAAGACTGTGCTCTTGTTCAAGACCTGCTGCTGCCCCCCCTTTAACTCACTTTCCCTCTCTTTCTCTCTCATACTCTCCCTTTCCCTCTCTTTCCCTCTCTTACCCTCTCTTTCCCTCCCTTTCCCTCTCTTTCCCTCTCATTCTCTCTCTTTCTCAGGCAATGATCTGGGACGACTCTCACAGCCGGTGCATTGGAGAGCTCACCTTCCGCAGCGAAGTGAGGGGCGTGCGGCTGAGGAGGGACCGCATTGTGGTGGTGTTGGAGCACAAGGTCTACGTCTACAACTTCGCTGACTTGAAGTTGCTTCACCAGGTGAGAGTGCTTGTTGAGGCTGCACCATATGAGATGTGCAGCAGTTAGGGCTGAGGAGGGATCGCATCGTGGTGGTGTTGGAGCACAAGGTTTACGTGTATAACTTCGCTGACCTTAAACTGCTTCATCAGGTAACATTGACCTGCACCAGTGAGCCTACACAATGCAGTGGTTTAGAGAGCACAGGGCTCAAGAAGGATCGCATCGTGGTGGTGCTGGAGCATAAGGTCTATGTGTACAACTTCGCTGATCTTAAACTGCTGCACCAGGTAACAGACACCTCAACACGCACCAGGTAAAGCCTCTGTCCAGGTACGGCTGAGGAGGGACCGCATTGTGGTGGTGCTGGAGCATAAGGTCTATGTCTATAACTTCGCAGACTTGAAGCTGCTTCACCAGATGAGGGTGCTTTTTGAGGTTGCACCATATGAGATGTGCAGCAGTTAGGGCTGAGGAGGGACCGCATTGTGGTGGTGCTGGAGCATAAGGTCTACGTGTATAACTTCGCTGACCTTAAACTGCTGCACCAGGTAGGGTCGTGGTGATGCCTCACCGTGCAGCATTGACGGCTGAGGAGGGATCGCATCGTGGTGGTGCTGGAGCACAAGGTGGGTAGTGCCTGCCTGCACCAGGTAACGCCTCAGAGCACAGGGCTGACTGAGGAGGGTTCGCGCATAAGGTTTATGTCTACAATTCGCAGACTTGAAGCTGCTGCACCAGGTGAGACATGCAGCAGGTAGCCCCTCAACGTGCACCAGGTGATGCCTGCACCATGTGATGCCTGCACCAGGTGATGCCTGCACCAGGTGATGCCTAGGGCTGTAGAATACCTGAGGGCTGTGCCAGGTGACTCAGTCCTGCTGCCGCTGTGCGTGGGCATCACTCATGATATCATCCCCATCACTCATGATATCATCCCCATCACTCGTGATATCATCCCCATCACTCGTGATATCATCCCCATCACTCGTGATATCATCCCCATCACTCGTGATATCATCCCCATCACTCGTGATATCATCCCCATCACTCGTGATATCATCCCCGTCACACCAATCTGTGTGCATCTCACCACCTCCCACGCACACCAGGTGGCAGGGGCACCACCTGGTGTGGAAGCGCTGTCAAACCCCCAGGGGGCTGTGCGAGGTGTCTCAGTCCTGTGTATTCCTGTCTGTTACCTGTCTGTTACCTGTCTGTTACCTGTCTGTTACCTGTCTGTTACCTGTCTGTTACCTGTCTGTTACCTGTCTGTTACCTGTCTGTTACCTGTCTGTTACCTGTCTGTTACCTGTCTGTTACCTGTCTGTTACCTGTCTGATACCTGTCTGTTACCTGTCTGTTACCTGTCTGTTACCCTCTCTGCCACCTTGTGTGCCACCCACTTTTGTCAGGTTCACACACTATAGGTTCACGCTCCATACAATCCCCGGAGGGCTGTGCGAGGTTTCCCAGTTTGGTGATTCTCCACCCTCCCTTACCTGTGTGGCACCGACCCCCTCTCACCCACGCATACCAGGTGGAGACGTTGTCCAACCCCCGAGGGCTGTGCGAGGTGTCTCAGTATGGTGGTCCCCCTCTCTACACTTACCTGCATGCCCACCACCAACTCCTTTCACCCACGCACACCAGGTGGAGACGTTGTCCAACCCTCGAGGGCTGTGCGCAGTGTCCCAGTCCTGTTGTTGCTGTGCGAGGTGTCTCAGTCTCCCAACAGCTGTCATTGCGTTGGCACCACCTTTGCTATCTTTCCCCACAATCTACCTTCGTTGTCCTCCCCACCACCACCGCCACCAACCCCTACCCACATCTGGCAGGTGGAGACGCTGTCCAACCCTAGAGGGCTGTGCGAGGTGTCTCAGTCTCCCAACAGCTGTCATTGCGTTGGCACCACCTTTGCTATCTTTCCCCACAATCTACCTTCGTTGTCCTCCCCACCACCACCGCCACCAACCCCTACCCACATCTGGCAGGTGGAGACGCTGTCCAACCCTAGAGGGCTGTGCGAGGTGTCTCAGTCTCCCAACAGTTTCGTTATGGCGTGCCCTGGCAAGCACCGGCAGCAGGTGGGATGATGGGGTGATGGGATGAATGGGATGCATGTTGGGTGTGTTGGGATGCATGGTGGGTAAATTGGGATGCACGGTGGGTAAGTTGGGATGCACGGTGGGTGAGTTGAGATGCATGGTGGGTGCGTTGGGATGCATGGTGGATGAGTTGGGATGCATGGTGGGTGCGCAGGGATGCATGGTGGGTGCGTAGGTATACATGGTCAAAGTGACGAGTCGAGCAATACTCGACTCGTCCATGGTCTTGCTCGACGAGCATTTGCTCCGAGTCGAGCAAAACTCTGACGAGCAATTTTCAACATTTTGCATACTCGGGACTCGTCGTTTTAGGGCATGCTCGGACGAGTTTAGGGGAAAGCTCGTCCGAGCACAAGACATGCTCGACTCGCCACTCGCAAGCACTAAGTTACCACGGACGCGTCCAGCTAGCTAAGTGGGGATTATCGGAGTAGACTAGCGGGGGAGGGAAGGGGGTTGTGCGATGGGTCATAAGCTGGCAAGCGGAAGGAACGATGTGACTTTCTGAAGTGACGGATCTGAATCTGGATCTGGTGGTTGGGTTTTGTAGTTTCAGTGCGGTGAAGAGAGGTATGTGGTGGCGAATGGTTGGGAAATCAAGTGGCAATTAGACGGAAAGGCATATTCGTTTTGCTCGACCAAAAGAAAGATCTGACCGTAGTGATTGACACGACTAGTGGCAGACTCCGCAGCGCAATTGCCGGCGGACCCCGCGGATTGACGGGCGAAATCGCCGATCCGCGCGGATTGACGGGCGAAATCGCCGATCCGCGCGGATTGACGGGCGAAATCGCCGATCCGTGTGGATTGACGGGCGAAATCTCCGGTACATTTGCCAGGTTCAGATCTGGGGTCAAATTTTCCCGCCAATTTTGACCCCCGTGAAAATTCTACGCGACGAGTTTTGCATGCTCAACGAGCATAAAAAAAACTCGTCGAGCATAAAACGAGCACTAAAATGCTCGTCTTAACGAGCGATCATGTGACGAGTACGAAAAGCTCGGCGAGCATTACTCGGCTCGACTCGGCCGAGTAATTTTGCAAAAAAATTATGCTCGTTACTCGGCCCCCAACGAGCATTTCGAACGAGTCGAGCAAAAACCCTACCCTCGTTGCCCATGTATATGCGTAGGGATGCATGATGGGTGTGTTGGGATGCAAGGTGGTGGGTGCGTAGGGACGCATGGTTGAATAGCTTGGACAGCCTGAAGGTCTGCGATTGTCGACTTTCTGTCCTGTCACCAAACTTTGGGGAGCTAGTTGCACTGAAGAGATTGGCGTTGGCGGATATACCGCTCTCAGGTCCCCTCTACTATTTCAGTCAGTTTTCGTCTCTGTAGTCTATTTATGTGGTTCTATGCAAGATCTGCCATCTTCTTTCTAGGTTCACTTCCGTGAGCAGCTTGCACAACCTGATAATTTGTGATTGCTGAATTGCAGTTTGCCAACTAACTTTTGGGAACTAGCCGTCTCGAGGTTGGTGGTCATTTACCAAAGTTTGTTGGCTGGACAGCAAGTCGCAAATTGTCAGGCTGTGCAAGCTGCTCAGGGAAGTGAATCCGGAAGGAAGCTGGCGGATCTTGCATCGAACTGCATCGATAGACTCCAGAGGCGAGAGCTGACTGAAAGAGTCGGGGAGACTTGAGAGTGGTAGATCTGCCAGCGCCAATCTCTTCAGTACGGTCTGCTTCTCAAAGTTTGCTGTCAGGATAGCAAGTCGGCAACCGCACATCTTCAGGCTGTGCAAGCTACTCAAGGATGCGAATCCGTCAGTCAGATTAGTTAACGCGCAGCATTCAGTAAGGCTCAGCTCTTCAAACTACAATAGCAAGCCTCGAATGCTGTCAGGATTACACTTGAGTTCGATGCATGCATTTTGCTCACTCTGTGGGCGTACCCTTTTTTACCATGTCTTGTTTCTGAACATATCCCCCCCTTCCCCCATTACATCCGCATGGAACTATTCAATCATTTCATCCCACGACTCGGAGCCCGCCTGCATCGCCCTCTCCTCTTCAACATGCCCCCCCCACTCCTGTCCCCCCCTCTCCCCATTTTTCTGCGCCATCTCAGATTCGTGTGGAGCTGTTTGATCAGCATCGCCCTCTCCTCTTCAGCATCCCTCCCCCACTCCTGTCCCCTCCTCTCCCCACTTTTCTGCCTCGTCTCAGATCCGTGTGGAGCTGTTTGACCAGCGCCGCACGCACTTCATTGCAGCACACGACTCCGAGCCCGCCTGCATCGCCCTCTCGCTGGACGGGCAGCGCCTGGCCACGGCCAGCAGCAAGGGCACGCTGATTAGAGTGTTCAACACAGCTGATGGCACGAAATTGCACGAGGTGAGCGGTGGGTGTGTTCACGCTCGCTCTCTTTCTTCCTATCGCTGGACGGGCAGCGGTTGACGACGGCCAGCAGCAAGGGCACGCTGATCAGAGTGTTCAACACGGCTGATGGCACAAAGCTGCAGGAGGTGAGCGGTGTGTGGGGATCGGGAGTGTGTGCATGGCATGTGTGTGTGGCACAAGTTTACTTTACGTGTTTTGGGGAGTGGTGAGAGCCCACTTCCACAGCCTCGTCTTCTCTTCCCCAAGGCACCGGTCTTTGGTGGTTGCTGCTCATGCACACCAGCTCACCGCACCGAACCTTGCATTTGATCACTCCCACCCCTTCACATCCCCCTTCTTGCTTCTCCCATCGCAGCTGCACCAAGGAGTGGAAAGAGCAGACATGTAAAGCGTCATTTTCGCACTCAGGGGGCCTTTTCTGTAGCAGTCAGTGGGAGAGCCAAGAGGTTGTTTTCTTTTCAAACCTTGAAAGCCAACTTGATATATGTCTCTCTCTCTCTCTCCTGGTCCCTTGCTCCCTGTTCTCCCTGTTCTTGCTCCCTGCCTCCCCTCCTTCACACCAGCTACGGCGGGGAGTGGAACGCGCAGACATCTACAGCCTCGTGTTCTCGCCTAAAGCGCCCTTCCTGGTGTGGCTGTTTGTCACACCCGCTCACCGCGCTGCATCTTGCCACTCCCCTTCCCTCACACCAGCTGCGCAGGGGAGTGGAGAGGGCAGACATCTACAGCCTGGTCTTCTCCCCCAAGGCGCCCTTCCTGGTGGCCGCCAGTGACAGAGGCACGATTCACGTGTTCTCACTCCGGCACTCCCAGGAGAACGGGCAGGAGGATGGGGTGGGGGGCGGGGAGGGGAAGCCGTCGGGGAGTGGTGGTGGAGCGGTGTCGGCACTTTCGTCGTTTGGGTTGATGAAAGGTGGGTTGCGAGGGGTGGTGTTTCAGTGGCGGGTCCACACGGGGGGTGGGGTGGCTCACTTTGGCTTGCTCGAGGGGTGGGGTTACTCGATATGGGAGTTGCTTGAAGGGGGGGTTTTTTTCTCTTTCCCTCCTCGCATCACCACCTTCCACTTTGGAAGATCGATGAGTGCTCCCTTGCGCTTTACAGCAGAAACGTGCACACTCCCCTTTACCCCCCCTCTCATGCCACTTCCTCCTTGTCTCCTGCCTCTCTACTCCTCCACTCTTCTGCCATGACTCCGCCCGTACCTCTCCATGGCAAGCCTTTCCTTGCATTCATCCCTCAGTCCATCCCCCCGGGCAACCCTATTACCTCCTTCTAATGGGCGGCCATGCACGCACGCATGCTCGCTGCTCTCATCTCATGCCATTCCCCACCTTCTGTCGTGACTCTCCATCAAACCTCTCTCCTCCCAGCGGTCTTTCCAACGTGCTTTAGCAACGAGTGTCCCCTAGCATTCTACTGGAGTGGCCATGCACACATGCATGCTCGCTCCTCTCACGCTACCCCCACTTACCTTTTACCTCGTTTTGCCCTTGCCTCCCCCCTCCCAGGTGTTCTCCCAAAGTACTTCAGTGAGCGATCGCTGGCATTCTATCGGGTGGGCGTGCACACGCGCTTGCTCGCTGCTTTGGCATCTCAAGAGTGCCATGCACTGTCAACCTGTCAACCCTTGTATACCCCTGTCAACCCTTGTCAACCCTAGTCAACCCCCTCTTTCGCTTCTCCCAGGTGTTCTCCCAAAGTACTTCAGTGACGAGCGATCGCTGGCATTCTACCGGGTGGGCGTGCACACACGTGCATCATCGCTGCATTGGCATCTCAGAAGTGTCATGCATTGTGAACTCCTGCCAACCCTTGTCAACCCCTCCCAGGTGTTCTCCCAAAGTACTTCAGTGACGAGCGCTCGCTGGCGTTCTATCGGGTGGGCGTGCACACACGCATGCTCGCTGCATTTGGTGCCGAAGCCAACACCGTCATTGTCGTCGGCAGCACTGGCGCGTACGTGTGGCCCATGTGTGTGTGTGTGTGTGGCAATGCTTTTTGCCCGTGCGTGTGCTAACTGTCTTGCCATGCTCGCTGCCGTTGGTGCCGAGGCCAACACCGTCATCGTCGTCAGCAGCACTGGCGCGTACGTGTGCCCATGCATGCGCTCTCCTGCTGTGCACTCTCGTGCTGTGCACTCTCGTGCTGTGCACTGTCGTGCTGTGCTCTTTCGTGCTGTGCTCTTTCGTGCTGTGCTCTTTCGTGCACGGGTTTGTAAGCCGTGAGACTTGTTCTGTTGGTGCAAGTTGTGTCGCGCGCTTGTCTGGCGATCACAGACAGGGCCGTCCTCCGCGTCTCGCATTGCTCGCTGCCTTTGGCACTGAACTGAAGCCAACACTGTGGTCCTCGTCCGCAGCACTGACGCATGCGAGTGTTGTTGCAATGCAGCGGAGAAGTTAACAGAGCTCTTCGAGCCCTGGGTTTGTTTACATGCTCTGCTGCTGAGTGGTCGTCGTGCTGTTGCATGGCTGTGGCAATGATTTCTACCAGTTGCTCTTGTCGTCCGTGTCTTAAGCAGGTTTGCTGATGCCAATGCTGTGTCACTTATTCTACCCCCCTCCAGGTTTTACAAGCTTCAGTTTGACCCGAAAACAGGCGGCGAGATGAGGCTATTGGAAGCGGCAAATTTCCTCGCGACAGAAGACGAGCAGATTTGATGGCGGCATAATAAGACCTATTGCTGTATTTGCTGGAAGCATGATCGGTGGGCTATTCGAGAAGATAAAGTGTTTATTATGTCGTCATGTGAATATTTGAACTATCAAGTTTAACACACTAAATTACGGTAGTCAATTCAGAGAATGTGAACTGTAGAAACTAGCTTTTTGCTCTGTAAACATAAATTGAGTCTGCCAAAAGCGATGCGTCTTTCCGAGCCTCGTCAGCCCAGACGAACAGCACCACGAAGACTGCCGTGGCGTTGCTTTGACTTCCGCCAAGGCCGTAGCGGGGCGGACTGACTGGGGGGGCGGAGGGGAAGTCTGAGTAGAAGTGCGCGGACGGGGGTGAGTAGAGCGCAGGGAGTGTGCGGGGGTCGTGGGGAGTGCCGAAGATTTCTCGGTATTTCCATTTCCCAGCTTTCCAGTTTCTCCTTTCTTAGAAAGATTCTCATTTATGGTTCCTTGTGGTAACACATATAACTGTTATAGGTACTAGTCCGCGATTTTGGCGGCCTGATGGCGCAGAGCAACACGGCGCTCGCGATTGTCGTTCTCGTGTTCGCCGCGGCGGCAGCGACGCGCGCGATGGATCTGCACCGCGAGGCGCGCATGGAGGAGCTGAAGGCGTCGATTAGAGATCGACGGCCGTCGTTCATCTTCGTCAAGCTCCGTCACGACGCGGGCTCTCGCACGCTGGTACGACCGAGTCCCTTACCTCCTCCCGCGCCGCTCGCAACGACGTACCCTTTCGAGTCGCCTCAATAGCGTAGCGTATTGGAGTTGTATATGCCGCTGCGCGCCAGACAATAGCGCGAGGGAGAGAAAACGAACGGTCGATGAAGCTACTAGGGCTCGTCGCGAGCAACCGCGATCTGGAAAGGAGAAATAGGTCGCGTTCAAGAATTTTGTTTCAAGATTGTCATTTGCGCTAGGGCGTTCATGGAGGACGTTTAGTCGTCGGCCAAGCCTTCCGTCAAACCATCCGTCAAACCATCCGTCAAGCCGTCGGTCAAGCCAGGTCGTTCATTTCTGTAAAGCTCCGACATGACTCCGGCGGGTCGCGTCACACCATCGGACCGCGAGAAAGGGAAACTGTGAATGCTGAACTCACGGCAATGCGGTGCCTTGAGTTGCCGGGAATCCCACGCTTTGCCTTACCACGGCGCGTCTGTACTTCTCTCCATTCTTTAGCCCTTCTCTTCGCATTTCTTATCCCTTTCCCAACCCCCTTGCTTCTCCCCTCATCCCAGCGTCCCCTTCCCCGACCCGTTGCATCTCTCATTTTAGAACTTTCAAGCTTCTTTATTCGGAAACTCTTTTTGTTTTGCATCCAAGGACACTCCAGTAGCCGTCTTCACGTTTCACATGGCCTTTCTCAGTTCGCATTTGAGAACTCTCGGATGTAACTCCACCGACCCTTCCCTCCCATCTCACATCTGAGTAACTCCCGCTGCCCTTCCGACGTTTCCCCTCTTCGTCACGCAGGAGGACGTGCAGCAGATGGCGACGAGGTGGCAGGCGGGCATGACGGAGGGGAAGATTGCTGCCAACGTGTATCCCTTAGATTCGGACACTCTCCACATCGCACTACTCACCACGGCGGCTGCCAGCAAGGTAACAAGCTAGCCATGCTTTGACACTCTCCACATCGCACTACTCACCACGGCGGCTGCCAGCAAGGTAACAAGCTAGCCATGCTTTGACACTCTCCACATCGCACTACTCACCACGGCGGCTGCCAGCAAGGTAACAAGCTAGCCATGCTTTGACACTCTCCACATCGCACTACTCACCACGGCGGCTGCCAGCAATGTAACAAGCTAGCCATGCTTTGACACTCTCCACATCGCACTACTCACCACGGCGGCTGCCAGCAAGGTAACAAGCTAGCCATGCTTTGACACTCTCCACATCGCACTACTCACCACCGCGGCTGCCAGCAATGTAACTCTTTGATTCTCCTTTGAGGCTCCTCGCGGATCGGCGTGTCCGTGAATCCACTGGATTGGGGCAGCTTTCGCATCGCACTGCTCACCACTCACCACTGCGGCTGCTATCAAGGTAACACTGACACACACCGCATCCTGTGAGTTGAGTTGATCCGAGAGCAGCACACCCTCTGCCCCTGTTTCTGCATGATAACGCTCACACTGCATGATTATGCTCACACTGCATGATTATGCTCACTGCTGCTGCAACACAAGCTGCCGTCTGGCCAGGCAGTTCTGCTTGTCCCTTTGATCCCTTGGAAGTATCAGACACGCCTCAGATTGGAGCACTCTCTTATATCGGTCCAAATCACTCATGGTCCTTGTCTGCACGAAAAGCGGTTGGGTGTCAGCCAGAGCAGGAGGATGATGCACACAAACTGTTTGTGCGAGTCTCTTTATCTTTTCCAACACCCCTGCTGTTGTTGTGCCTCGCCTGGCAGGTGAAGGAGTTTGTGCTGAAGCAGGAGGAGCAAGTGTAGGAGCTGGTGGTTGGGAACGTGATAAAAGTCACATCTTGAGACGTCTCAAAGTCTCACCTGGCAGGTTTAGGAGTGTGTGCTGCAGCAGGAGGAGGCATACGAGCTGCTGGCGGGGGATGACATAACGCGGCGCCCGGGAGGCCCTTTATCTCTTTCAACCCCGCTCTTGTGTTGTGCCTCGCCTCGCAGGTGAAGGAGTTTGTGCTGCAGCAGGAGGAGGCATACGAGTTGCTGGTGGGGGGCGATGTGGTGCGGCGCCCGGGAGACGCACCTCTGGAATCCCTCGTGCACCGCGACGTTTGGACTGCTTGTTGGTGTCGAGCTGGTGCAGCACTAGTGCCCTGGTCACCCCTTTTTAACGCCTGTGTGCGGAGACCCCTTTTTCTATTTCAAACCCTGTACGTTTTGTGTGTCGCAGGTGAAGGAGTTTGTGCTGGGGCAGGAGGATGCATACGAGCTGCTGGTGGGGGACGACGTGGTGCGGCGGCCCGGAGACGCGCCACTGGAATCCCTGGTGCACCGCGACGTGTGGAAGCGCGAGCGCATGCGACAGGAGATGATGAAGGAGCGCGAGAAGCTGCACCTGGATAGGATGGGTGGGGACAGAGGCATGACGGACCACCACCGGCAGAGGATTAAGGAGCAGCTGAGGGCGCGGCATGTGGAGAGACTGGAGAGGAAGAGGAAGATGCGGGAGGAGTGGCTGGAGAACCATGCAGATGATGACCTGTAAATGGATTTGGCGCTTCTGGGGGGGTGTGTGAAAAGTGCACACGACATAAAGTGCTGGATGCACTTTCGAATGGGGAACATTTTTTCATGGCTTCAACTTGATGTGCGAATTGTCAGAAACTGAATGAATGAGAATGAGGGCATACAGGGTGGGTATGTCTAGCAGACCTGAACCTTTATAGTGCAACCCAACTTAGCCTAAAAAGTGCACAGTGCATACCGTCATACCCCGGATAGTAGCGCAGATGCGCTTATAATAAAATCTTGATTTTTTTTTGGGTGCGCTTATAATCGAGTAACGGCCATAAGCGCCGGCGCCTTTATAATGGCAAAAATGAAATTTGTTTGTAAGGGTACCAAAATGAAGCTTGCAATAAGGCGAACACAACGATGTGCCGTTCACGTGGGGTCATGCATGGAATCCTCGCGCTATTCGCCGCGATTCGATTCCCCACCGCACACTTCACGTCCCAGTGCAGCGCACCTGCCAGCGCTGACACAAAAGCTGTCGTGCGGCCCAATCGGGTTGTCATGCGCGGCCAGGCAGGACAACTCATCCGAACCCTCTCGAAGGGTGTGGAATATGCCCTGCCAGCACAGCACGTCTGGTGCCATGAACCCTCCTCTGCGGGTTCAGGCAGGGTGATTTTCGTCTTTCATTGATGAGGACCCCGAGGCGCTTTCCTGAAGGGGTCCTCTTCAATCGTTCATTTCTTCATTCATGCTTTGCGTTTCCCATTCACTTTCTTGTTCACGCCCGCCTGGCTGCGGAAGCCATGGCGGAATTCACAGGCACTCATTTCCTTTTCAAGAAAAAACCTAGGCCCGCTTACACAGTTGACGCTGACGGATGGTACACACGTATCCCACCAGAACCACCATCGCCACCACAGCCTCCTGCTCCTCCTGCGCCACCTGCTCCTCCTGCGCCACTTGCTCCTCCCGCTCCTCCTGCTCCTCCGTATCAGGCGTTCCCACAACCGCCTGGGAATCATCCCGTGCTTACGCTCTTGCTCCCGTCCACCTTCGACGAGTACCTGTCTGAACCGGACAATAACAAGGGTCCAGACGTGTATGTACGGGCTCCGGCACCTGCACCAAGATGGGGCGCGCCCGAAGAATGCACGTGGGACGAATCTGCCGTCGGCGCCGACGACGATGTGGCTGACGCCGCGGAAGAAGGTCGTGCCGAGGGCGACAACGGTGCCGAGGATGGCACGGAGGCCGAAACCGAGGCTGGCACCGCGGCCGATGTGTTTCCAGAGGGTGAACCAGACGCCGCCGACGACGACGGCGTCGAATACTGGTCTCGCGATGGGCTCCCTGAGAAACTCCCGATTCCGACTTTCCCTCCTGTTAACCGCAAGCGACCTCACCCTTCTGCTGAGAATCGTGATGCCCGCCCCCCCTCTCCCAGGAACAAAGTCAACCAGCATAAGCGTCAAGCTTATACTGCGCAAGAAAAACTGCAGTGGGTCGCGCGGCTGGATGTGGGGGTGTCGGTGCGCTCCTTGTCTCGAGAAAGCGGCATCCACCGGAAGTGTCTCACGGAGTGGAAGCGCGCCGCCGATTTCCTCAAGGAGGTGCACGCCGCACGGAAGCGCATGCACGGCCGCGGGAGGTCTTCATGGTACCGCCCGATGGAGCTGAAGGTGTACGAAAAGCTACTGGAGTGGCGCCGCAAGGGAACAGCAGTCTCCGTCGGCCGTCTGCAGGAGTGGTCGCACGAGTTCATGAAGCTGCTCTACCCGCTTGTGAAGTGGAAGGGCAGCCAGCGGTGGTCGGAACGGTTTCG